AAAAAAAAAAAAACAAAAAAATAAAGTGGTCAAAAGCTGAGTGCAGGTCAGATACGCTAGCTCATGCCTGTAACCCCAGAACTTTGGGAGGCCAGGGCAAGAGAATCACTTGAGCCCAAGAGTTTGAGGCCAGGCTGGGCAACATAGCAAGACCCCTGTCTACAAAAACATTCCAAAACTTAGCCGGGTTGGGAGGCTGAGGTGGGCGGATCATGAGGTCAGGAATTCGAGACCAACCTGCCCATTATGGTGAAACCCTGTCTCTACGAATAATACAAAAATTAGCCAGGCATGGTGGCTCATGTCTGTAGTCCCAGCTACTCAGGAGGCTGAGGCAGGAGAATCACTTGAACCCAGGAGGCGGAGGTCGCAGTGAGCCGAGATTGCGCCACTGCACTCCAGCCAGGCGACAGAGTGAGACTCTGTCTTAAAAAAAAAAAAGTCCAATTAAAGGTTGTGGAAATAATTCTGTGAAGATAGTGATGGCTTAGACAAAGGGTCAGTAAACTACAGGCCATAGGGCAACTCTGGTCTACTGCTGGCTTTTGAACAAACTATAAATGGCTTTAAAAATAAATGAGGTTTTTACATGTTTAAGCAGGTGGAAAATAAATCAAAGAAACCTATTTCATGACACGTGAAAATTAAATTCGAATTTCGGTGTCCATAAATAGAGTTGTATCGGAACACACCATGCTCACTTGATGACATCTGTGGCTGCCACTATCGTGGTATCACTGCCACTAAGATCTCTGAGACAGCCGGGTGCTGGGGCTCATGCCTGTAATCCCAGCACTTTGGGAGGCAGAGGCGAGCAGATCACTTGAAATCAAGAGTTCGAGACCAGCCTGGCCAACATGGTGAAACCCCATCTCTGCTAACAATACAAAAATTAGCCAGGTGTCATGATGCGCGCCTGTAATCTCAGCTGCTTGGGAAGCTCAGACAGGAGAATCACTTGAACCCGGGAAGTGGAGGTTGCAGTGAGCTGAGATCGCACCACTGCACTCCAGCCTGGGTGACAGAACGAGACCCTGACTCAAAAAAAAAAAAAAAAACTGACACTGCTGGGGCCAGCGCTCAAGGAGCTCCAGCGCAGGGACCAACCACTCAACTCCCCAGGTTCCCAGGGGATGGTCTAGAACAGCATCTCTGCATCCCTGCACCACGGCTGGGTTGCAGTTGGTGACCACACCGGGGTCTCTTTCCAACTCAGGGCAGGAAGGCGCTGTTGGACCAGGAAGCTGAAAGCGCGCCAGAGGCTAAGCCCTTCGGACACAAGCTGACTGGAGGAGCAAGAGGAGCTTATCCTGGCCAACACCCCACTGCTGGAGTCTGGCAGACAGGTTAGTCCACCCCCACGAGCTCAGCTTGCCAAAGAGCCTAGACTGGGATCTATGTGGCCGACCTCATGCACGCGGTGGCAGCTAACACCTCCCCCCACTCCCAACCAGCCAGGTACAGAGGCTCATCCTCCACCCGAATCATCTCCTTGATAAGGTATTCATACCCTTTGCAGATGAGAAACTGGGGCTTGTTTGTTCACTGACACGTGCCAGGCACAAACTTAAGGACTTTGGGATTCAGCTTTAGAAGGAGAGACAAAAATCCCTTTGGGACTGACGTCTTAGCAGAGAGTGACAATGAAATAAATCACTGTATGTAATATATTCAAAGGTGACGTGTGACATGGAAAGAAGAAAGAAAAGGGGACAGGGAGTGGCGGTTGAAGGGGGCAAGACTTTTTTTTTTTTTTTGAGATGGAGTCTTGCTGTC